TCGAGCCACCGGGGCGACGACGACAGCTCGTCGGCTTGTGACAGCCGACTCGACTCGGCTCTTCAATTGGCTCGCCCAACCAGCACTCATCCAAGGCTCCTGCAATGCGGCGGACATCTTCCGTATTTACGAGTGCATATAAATCAGATCACATCTGCACTTCATCTGCACGGCGACCAAACGTGTCCCCTCCGGCGTCTGAATCCCCCTCGGATCGGGTTGCATCGGCGTCACTTCGAGGCAGTATATATGCACATGCACGTCTCGTCGCCGGATATTCTCCAATTATCACCGTGAAGTTATGACTGCTGAATAATTCAGTACAAGGCGATACGCAGGTCGTCGGCGATACCGTGAAGCATTTCAAAGCATATGAAACATGGCCATTGGCTCGTTGAACCGTTCATATCCCCATAAGAAGCCCGTATGGAGCAAGCGTATGTATACACGACAAGTACGATTATAGGTACCTAGATACCTAGAAGGTAGGTAGGTATACTTGATATCATTACAATTAGGAGTTAACTCAACTTTGCTAGACAGTGTCTCCAAAAGCAGCACTTTGTCGATGACAGGCTAGACCGAGAAGGCCTAGGCGAGAGCTTTGAGAACGGCAGTGTACGCAGCCTTGGGCTTGTAGCTCGAGTCAAAGAGCAGGGGCGTGCTTTGAGATTGCCACGAGTCCTAGGTATCGAGTGTTAGATCTGGTGCTTGCAACGTCGGGGTTGACAGTCGGGGTTGGGTATACTCACAGCATCGCTCACGCCCCACGTCGTGACGCCAACACACTTCTCCACAGAAACACAGGCATTTGCAACTGTGACGTAGCCGTCGGCAGGCGCGTCGACAATGTCGAGCTCGGTGATGGCAAGTTCCGAAACCCCGGTGCCGGCGAGTTTCTCCAGTCCGGCCTTCATGTCGTCAGGGCTAGGGTTGCCACCTCCGAGGTGACCCTGGAGGCCGATACCATCGATGGGAATACCAGCCTCGAGCCACTTCTGAACGTGGTCGAACATGCCCGTCGTGGTCTTAGCAGACGTGCCGCTCTCGAGGTGGTAGTCGTTGATATAGAGCTTCGCATCAGGATCGGCCTTGCGAGCTGCCTCGAAGGCAATGCGAACGAAGTCCTCGCCGAGAACCTGCGTGAAGACGCAGTCGCGGAGCGTACCATCCTCGTCGAAAATTTCGTTGACGACATCCTGAACGAACGGTGTTAACTCATATGACCTCCTAATGCTGAGTGCTGCTTTAACTGATGACATACCCACGCGCGGACCTTGCCCTTGTACCTTCCGACGACGCTGCTAATGTGGTTCTCGAGGACGCTCGTCAACTCCTTCTTATCGGTGATAGCTTTTACATAGTCCGGGAGCTGCTGGTCCCAGAGCAGCGTGTGGCCACGCACGCTCAGGCCGTTCTGCTGAGCGAAGTCCACGAGAACGTCGGCACCCCCGAAGCTAAAGCCTCCTCGCTGAGGTTCGATGGCGTCCCACTTCATGCTGTTCTCAGCCGTCACCTGTCCGAAGTCCTTTTTGATAATGGCAGCATTCTGAGACTTGGACAGGGTTCCCGAGTCGGCTGAGGTACCCCAGTAAAGCTTGCCCTTGGCCTTGAAGAGAGCGTCAATGCTGTCAGAAGACGGGGTAGCAGAGGGGCTCGCAGATGAAGTGGCCGACGAGCTCACGGAGCTAGCCGAGGTGGCAGAGCTAGACGTGGCCGTAGCGGATGAAGTCACCGAGGTTGCTTTAGTAGCAGACGTGATGGAAGCGACCGTGGATGTCGCAGGAGACTGGCTGCTTGATGCAATAGTGGTCGTGGCGATCGAGGAGATCGCAGAAGTCGGACGGTGGCCACCGCAAGGTCGGGCCACGACAATGCCCACGGGGCTCAGAAGACAAGCAAGAGCTGCTGGCTTCATTTTAACGATAGTGGATTAGAAAAAAAATGAGAGGACGACAGCAGTCAGTCAGAAGCGAGTAACGATTGATACAGTTAACGAAAGTGAGCGGTCAAGCCTAGAGCTGAACCGCGATGCCAGCTAGCAACCAATCTTCAAAGACGGACGAAGAGCAACCTTGACTTCACACCGGGACTCTCACGAGGGCTCAGGCGGTTGAGCGTAGATATAACACGCACGCCCCCTAACACCCGACAGCCTTCTCAGAGGCTTAGACGCGCTGGGCATGCCAAGTTCGGGACGAGATACCGACGAATGGAGGGGATCTAGAACGCATCCAGCTAATCAGCGGTTATGGCTTTCCTAAAAAAGACATCTCGTTAAATGACGTTCCATCGATGTTACTGCATTCAGGAGTCTGTTAGCTGACAAGGGATGATTTGGCCGCGATACTCGCATGTATCCACTTCGGAAGCCTCCCGAGACCAGACAAGCATGCTGGTGGTGAGATCTCTCTTCGGGTAGGGGTCGATCCCACGTGGCCGAGAAGATGAGGTGCAGTAGAAGCTCAGTATGCCCATAGCTGTACGTAGCAGCTGATAGTCTAACCCGGGTATCTCATAGCATTGAATTTCTGTATGTCAATGCCATCGCGGACGTCTCAGGAGCATCACCTTTATCATGGAGACTTTAGATGGATTCCATCGCAGGTATTTGAAGTTCGGTTGAATGTCCTCTCACCTACCCATCATCTCAGAAATCTGCGCGACCGCGGCGTTGATGGCGCGATACGACGTCGCCCGGGTCAGGGCGTTTCAGGGGGATTCGCCGTGCATGGGAGTACGACGTAACAGAAGAATGTTACCGCAATCTTGGCGACATGGTAGCAGATGTAATTGGGATATCTTAGCAACACGAGGACGTAGGTCAATTTGCGCCAGGGCCGTGGAGGAAGTGAGAAAGCAAGGACATTGAAGGGAAGTGGACGATTTATGTTTTCTGGAAAACATAGCCAGCGGATCATGAATGTCGGACATTCGCTTCTATCCGATCCGACCTGTAACATCAAACTGATCGTCGATCTCCACACGCGGCTGGCGGTGACGTGCATAACACTGTCAACTCTTCCGTACCAAATATGAAGAAGGTAACTGATATCAACTTGCAAAGTCCTTTTTTATTCGAATCTCTCAGTCAATGAATACTAGTAAAGCTATTTTCAATTCAATTGATCGCAATTGGAGTCTTTTTAGACGGCCTTTATGAACCCTAGATCTCGGTTCTAGCTGTAATGCAACACACCGTGCTTAGACGCGGGAGATCAGCTACTATTATGACAGCACAAGTGGCCCAAGCTCCAAGTCTGTTCCTGAATCCATGACATCAGAGTGATCCAAGACGGCAGTAACTCTTGAAGCTGAATATTTGAGCCTCGATGGCTGCTGTGTGAAGTTAGAACATACCTCACGTACTCATAATACAGAATTTTCGACATCAACACCGAGCCATTATACTAATATCGACATCTTCCAATCGCGAATCTGAAGTACTTGACCTTTCTCGCTCACGTAGCCATCACATATCAACATCATGACGACGACTAGATCTGCTGCCAAGGCGGGGTCGAGCCCCCAGAAAGAGAACGGCGAGGCCGCGGGCACGAAGCACCAGCTCAACATCAAAACGACGCCTGCATCCAAGCGTAGTAAGAAGGAGGATGACGACAAGAAGCAGCAGACTATCGAGGAGTCTATGCCGAGGTAGGTCCATACTACATACATATCCAACAGACAGCACTAGCTAACCCATTCAAAGTCCTACCGAGGCATACGGGGACGGCAAGTCGCCGAGCAGTAGGGACAAGAAGGGAGAGGGTCAGGGCCAGGACGAAGCGGGATCTGGAAACAAAGTAGAGCATGAAGGTTCAGCCGAGCAGGAAGGGGCAAGAGAAGGCGTCGTCCCATCCAACATCCTTGAGAAAGGTATCATGTACGTCTTCATCCGCGGTCGAGTAGGCATCGACGAGCCGAGCAGCGTAAGCGACATCCGGCGCAGCCACATGATTCTCCGACCCTTAGCGAAAGACGCAAAGCTCGGCGAGGGCACGATCGATGATGCCGGCAACAGCCGCCTAATCGCGATCCCGAAGAAGGTATTTCCAGTGAGCGGCAGGGACAGGTGGATTGCATTCGTTGAGAAGACACATGCCTCTTTCAAGACGCTGAAGGAAGAGTTCATGTCGGCTGAGGACTATGCTACCAAGACGGCCGGGGTGAGGCACACACCCGCCGCTACGCCGGTAGCTGAGGGAATCTACGCCATCACGAGCACCGGCCGAGAGAACCACCTCGCGTACATGATCACCTTGCCGGAAGACTTCGGTGAAGTCCAGAAGGAGATCGGGCTGAAGGAGAAAGGCAGCTTCATTGTCAGCACCAGGAATCCGCAGTACGAGGCCCCGAAAGGCACTGCTCTACCAGAGGGCCCGGAGTATCCACAGGAGTAAGTATTCTCATCCCGCCGGTATGCAATACACGCCCGTTGACGCGCCAAATCTAGGGTCCTAGACGGCTTCAGAGCACTACGCTGGATGGCCACGGAGCCCACGCATCTCGACTACGTAAACACGCAGTTTCTGCTGGTTGGCGAGTCGAGCGGGATTCAGAAGGCGACGGAGCCTCAGAAAGGTCAAGAGGGCCAAGAAGAGCCCATAGAGGAGCTGGAGAAGCTTGAGTACGAGGACACGCATCGCATGGAGGGTTTGCAGGGAGACGACTCGGCGGCCATCTTCGCCGACTTGCATGCGCGCGCCAAAGACTATCCGAAGTTGCAGACTACCTTTTAAGATATTGGAGAAAAGGTCATTCGAGAAGAACTATAAACATTGTAATCAATAGGTAGGGTAGATAAAAAGGCCAGGGTGAGCAGAAAACGCAGTGAGCCGCAGGAAAGAAAGCATTCGGAAAGCTCGGTTCACATGCGTTCCACACAGTGCAGCTCAACACGATAACGATAATGTCTCGCACCTAATTTTCGCACAATTGAGAATATAATAAATTTTACCTGCTACTTCCATCATCGCCGCACACACATATCGGATGAGTCTCGATTCGTCTAGTGGTTAGGATACCTGCTTGTCATTCGGGTGCAGAAACTGAATACGCAGGTGGCCGGGGTTCAATTCCCCGATCGAGAGATCTTTTTCCTTTTTTCCTCTTTTTCAAACCTTCGCGTTACCTAACCCCGCCTCATTATTTTTATCCTCCGCCGGTCGATAAGCTACTCACGATGCCAGATACAGGGACCGTCGGAGACTATACAGAAACTTTTCCAAAGAGACTCGCTGACGATCAGAGGTAGTATGGGGGCACGAAAGACAACCCGTATCTCAATACGACCATGGGATTGTCTCTTCGGCAGCGAGCCGCCCTACCAAGCCGTCACGATCTCGCATTCTAGGGTTACATCCAAGCGGGATCCCACATGGCCATCCATTCATATTTCTGAACGCTATGAGATGCATAGCTCACATCGCCAACATAAATCGGAAGCATCATCATCTTAAGCCGCCAACAGCTACACGCCTCAAGGCCCGACCGCTCAGCCGCCGAGCAAGGTATACCGCATATCCGTAGCCCTCTGCTGCGCGCGCGCGAGCTCCTCGTTGCGCTGGCCCCACCACCGCGGCCGCGTGCGCACCAGCGCCTCCTCGACCTCGGTGTACGTGTCGCCGAGGGTGTGGACGACGCGGCCGTTCCAGGGTGCCTCAGCGCCCGCCTTCTCCGGCTCGTCGCGCCCGTAGTCCTCGACGCGCCGCGCCTGCCGCGCCGTCGCCGAGTACGCCACCGCCAGCCCGACGTGCCGCCCCGTCGACACCGGCAGCCCCGCCGCCACCAGCGGCGCTGCGAGCTGCGCGGGAAGCGTGGCGGACTCGGTTGCTGAGGGCGCGACGCCGGAGATGGAGATTCCGTGCTGGGGGAGGGTTGCGCGGAGGGAGCGGATTAGGCTGGTTACCTAAAGGGGCGAGGAACACGGAGTCAGCTTCTAGGACGCCTGCCGATCGCGCGTTGAGAGAGATAGGGAGAGGGAAGAGAAGTCATGAGCCAGACTCGTGCACTCACAGCAGCCTTAGTAGCGCAGTACACCGGCAAGCTCTGCTCCGGCAGATACGCAGTCGCGCTCCCCGTCAGCACGACGCGGCCGCCGTCGGGCTGCGCCTTCATGACGCGCGCGGCCAGCATGACGAAGTTGAGCGTGCCGACGAGGTTGACGGCGACGCTGCGGTAAGCCGGCGCGCCCCCGTCCCGCAGCGCCGCCCACGCCGCCGCGTCCGCGGGCGCCGGCGTCCGCAGGCACTGCTGCAGGTAGCCGCCGTCGCTCTCGACCCCCGCGTTGCCGACCGCGATGTCGAGGGTGGCCGAGGACGCGGTTACCGCTGCGAACGCGTCGACGAGGCTGGGCCATGAGGATATGTCCGTGCGGATGTATGTCGGCGGGTACGTGGCGGTCTTGCCGAGGCCTGGGGGCAGCGGCTGCACGTCGAGGATGAAGACCCGCGCTCCGTGTTCTAGGAAGATCTCGACGGCGCCGAGCCCGATGCCGCTTGATCCGCCCGTCACGACGGCTGTCTTGCCGCTGAGGTCTGGGATGTCTTCGTCTGTTATCGAAAGTGCCGTCATCTTGTCTAGGCTTCGACGGTGGGACCCAGCTATTGGGATGCTTCTAGATCAGCGCGACATAAGCGATATCTTGGCGTGGGACTGTCGTACTTATGTATAGGCCCGTTGGCTGATGTGCCTTGCATGTTCGGGAATTCCCGAAGATGGCAACCGGTCTGGAGTATGGATACACCCCCATATCGGGCTGTTATGCTCCTCCTACTGGTTATCATATTACCTTCATCCTCGTCACATTTTCACCACGAATACTTTCGGTCAGGAAAGGATGATAATGAGAATTAGAACGCACTTCTTATCGAAAACCTATCCAGATATTAACCATATACCCAGATACCTTCTTACTCCACCCGTTCTACAGTTTATCTAGGAATCCTTCCTCGTCGTCACACGAACCTTGAGCTCCGGCTTAATCCACAGAGTGTGCATCCGCGAGTCGCGGTGCCAGTCCATGTCCTTGTTGAGCAGCTCGAAGTCATACGAGTAATGCATCTTGGCCAACGTCGTCCTCATCTCCATCCAAGCAAGACTATATGGTAAGAAGAAGTAAGCACATACGCGCTATAGTATTATAGTCCAAGCTCGGAACCTAGACGTACCTTTGCCCGAGGCAAATCCGCGCGCCCATGGAGAACGGCTGGCTAGCATCAAGGTTGTCATGCTTATTGGTCTCCAGCCAGCGCTCCGGGCGGAACAGCTCGGGGTCCTTGAAGTTCGTCTCGGATAGACAGGCTGCGACCGGGTTCGTGGATACTATCGTCTTCATTGGCGGTTAGTAACGGTGCATACGTGATATCTCGGGGGTATACATACGCCTCCCGGCAAAAAGTGGCCGTCAACGACGTCGCCGGGCTCAGGGACGACACGAGGCAGACCGAAGGGAAGAGGAGGGTAGATTCGCATGCCCTCCAAGATAACCGCGCTCAGGTATTTCAGTGGTGTCGTAGAGGCGTTGTTGATGGACTCGTATGACTGGAAGGACTGGCGGATCTCTTTCTGGAGCCTGTCGCTCGCCTCCGGTCTGCGGAGCAGGTAGTAGGTTATGCACGCCAGAGCCGTGGCTGCTGTCTCGCTTCCGGCCGTTCTGAAATCCTCGGTTAACTCATCACAGTTGGTTGTAAGGCAGGCAGGCCTCAGGGCGCATACATGAAATCCGAGGTGTGTGCGGCGAGCTGGATATCTGAAATCTCATCCGAATCCCTGCTCTCCAAGATGCCCGAGATGAAGTCTTTCCGGGGAGTGTTATTGGCAAGGCGTCTAGTGAACTGTCAGCTAGATGATAGACTTTCTCTCGTAGAGAGGTCAAAAGTATACTTCTTGATCAAATTCAAGGAGTAACCCTCATGGATCTTGGTATCTTGAATAAGTTTCTCAATTTTCCCCGGCACCAGCCTCTTGAATACTTCAGCAACAAGTGGGAACCTCTTCATGGCGTCTGCTAGAGCTCCCTGCATCAATGCGCCCGTAACGAGGGATATCCATTTGTGAGTATGACCTAGCCTAGCATCAGCAACTACGCGCTCTAGGGAATAGTTACTTGCATCCCTAACATACCTGTCTCGACCCCCTTGAACGTCTCCCCAAATGCCAGGCTCCCAATGATATCGAAGGTAAGCATGTTGAACCACTGCACCATGTTCAACCCCTTTTCGCCCCTCTCACCCCCAATCTGCACGATCAATTGATCAACGATTTCGGAAATGAGAGACTCCTGATCCGCCAGCGATCGCTCCGAGAAGGCATTTGCGAGGTACTTGCGCATCTGCCTATGCTCCCTCGGGTCCCGCTCGCTTACGATAGAATGTGCCTGGTCCGCGAAGCTGCCACCGTCATAGAATTCGCTCTTAATGAAGAGCTTGTGGCCCTGCCGGAATCCGTATATGTCCTTCCATGACTGGCCCGTGTTGAAGGAGAGCTCGTTCGGGGCGACTCGAACGACGGGGCCTGCATCCCAAGTCCGTCAGAAGAGCGAAGAAGTGGGTGTTTGGAGAAGCTACTCATACCGTATTTCCTGTGGAGTTCGAGAAGGTCGTAGGGCTGTCGCCCGCGCAGGAAGACGTAGCAGTGCAGGAACTAGGTTGCATTCTTAGCTCTGTCTTGCGCCGTCGGTGCCAGAATGCCGGTACATTACTGATCGCTGCCGTTCGCGGCCCCGGAAATCTCGACAATGGATGGTTGTAGACGTTGCGCACATACACCACCAGCCTGTAAAGGATAACCTGCAATTACTGCGTCAATATGCGATCATATGCAGCATCTGTGGAGTTGGGTGGTCAGTACGCTGAGAAGCAGGCCGACACCAATTGTGGTGTAGCCCCTTTCGTTCATGGAGTCAAACATGGTTCACGTTATTGCGAATGTACAGTGACGCTGCTATCCCCAGACACACAGTAATGCGATTTTCACCAGGATCAATCGCATCTTCCAGACAGCCAGAGCACCGTCTGATCATATCATAAGCTTGCATCGAAGGGCATTTGCCCGCGTTAAGCCACCCAATATGGCCAACATCCAAATAAGGAAATTCCCGGATTACGGTAGAGGTTCAGATCGTGTGAGCCCTAATAAGAACACCCCATTTAGATTGGATTACTTGAGTCCTACAGCGCCGCGCACTGGCCGCTGGCCGGAAGTTGCCCAATATGACCTGTAATAATGAATGAAGCTTTCGGACTGTTACGGATTCGTCCAAGTCCACGAGGACTTGAAGGGCCATGCAACTTCCAAGAACCAAAGAGGATAATGAATTTTATATCCTACTTAATCATGCCTTAATCCGTGTTATTTCCCTGTATACCTGCCTAATTTAGTGGTGAAGCGAGCTGCGCGGAGAAATAATCACGGCTCAGGGGCTGCGCTGTAGTTGATCCAAAAAAGCGTCCATACTGTCCAGCTGCCCAAGCTGCCCAAGTAGACATTCAACTAGCTACCCAAAAGAGGGTCTGTAAAAGGCCGTGGGCTTTGATTGCAGTTTCTATCCAGTCTTACGATATCCATCGAGAGTTGCAGCTTCATCTGTCCAACCGTGTGAATTGGCCTCCTATACGCTAGTCAGCTTCTCACCGAGAGCCCAAAGCTTCTCTGCCTCTTCGCGGCTGATTGCGTAGTCCTTTACGCCCGGGTAAATGTTGCACTCCAGGAGCAGCGCCGGTGATTTGACTGTTATGGTCAGTTAGATCATATTCTCCTTCTCTGATCGACCTGAGATGTCTCACCTCGAAGGCTCGAGTCCAATCCTGCGAGAAGGACGGTGGCGCAACCTTCTTGTAGAGTTCGCGCCGTCTGAGGCGGCACATCCTTTCCTGTAGGCATCTTAGCATACGAGCTTCTTGCTGTTTGTCAATAAATCATTATCATACCGCCGTTCCGCTCGACGGCCAGCTTGTAGCCCTCGATCATCAGGTCCATGTCAACGCCGTTGTTCGCCTGTAGCTTGGAGTCGGGGATATCTTCTCGCGCTGTTAGTTATGTCTACGCGCTTGCACTATATAGGGTAATTCGTCTCACAGCCAGGGTGCAC